AATAGACTTTCTGTGCTCGGTGCCATCACAAGTGAGATGCGTTCCATATTTTTTTCCCATACTTTCTGCAACAGGCACACAACAACGGTTAAAACTTTACTCGCGCGTCCCACCCCATGGGCTTGTTGTTTATTGTGGGACTATAATGACTGATGAGGGGAAAGAGCGACGTGTGAATATCGACTTCGAACCGTGAACCCGGCGCACCGCCTTGCCAACGCATTCGCAAACATCCATGCAACCAGGTTCAAGCCCATAAATACATCCTTATATTTGTGCGATAACAAGTTTCATACGGAGGCTCTCGATGAGCTATTAGAAGACGACGAAAAGTTCGGCTTCATTGTGATGGATGGAAATGGTTCTCTTTATGGTGCGCATGCGGCAATTGAAACAGACCTATGTGAATGTCTATTTACCCTTCAGGCACTCTTCAAGGTAACAATAGAGAGGTGCTTCACAAGTTTTCAGTTGATTTACCTAAAAAGTGAGTTCGCGTCCAGAGTGGAGCGTTATGCACTTATTATTGTTAGGCATGGGCGTGGAGGCCAGTCTGCGCTTAGATTTGCGCGTCTGCGCATGGAAAAGCGTCATAACTATGTGCGCAAAGTCTCAGAACTTGCCGTCCAAATGTTCATCACCGCTGACAAGCCGAATGTATCCGGACTTGTCCTCGCGGGATCGGCCGACTTCAAGAGTGAATTGCAGACTTCAGACATGTTTGACCAACGCCTTGCGTTTTCTCAAACTCGGTGTTGATCTGACAAAGCTAGGACAAATAAGTGAAAGCGTAGGCGTGTCGTTATCAAAACAGTCGACGTTAGTTATGGGGGAGAAATTGGATTCAATCAGGCTATCGAGTTGTCGGCTGAAACGTTGGGATCAGTGAAGCTAGTTCAGGAAAAGAGGTTGCTGCAAAAATATTTCGATGAAATATCTCAGGACACCGGTAAATATTGCTTTATGGTCAGTGACACTCTGCGAGCGCTCGAACTCGGAGCTGTCGAGATACTTGTCGTATGGGAGAATCTTGATGTTGACCGAATTACGCTGCGAAATCATGCAGCCGGAGAGGACAAAGTTCTGCACCTTTCCAAGGAGCAACAAGCGAACGAGCAGTATTTTCATGATCCAATTTCCGGGGTAGAGCTAGAAGTTGTTGAGAAGTTGCCGTTAGTTGAGTGGTTCGCAAACAACTACAAAACATTTGGTACCTCATTGGAGTTCGTAACAAATCGGTCTCAGGAAGGCTCACAGTTTTGTAGAGGATTCGGAGGTATTGGTGGTATCCTGCGTTGGCGGGTGGATTTTCTTGAGATTGATATGGCTGAGGACGCTGCAGAAAGCTTCACCTAGGAATGCTGTCTGTTTGGGACCAAACATTCAAGGAATTTCAAATCCGCATTCAACGAGGGGCTAGAACCTGGAAGGCGGGGATCTAGGCCTGCCCAGGACTGGGCAGTCTAACGGAACTGAGTTGGCGGCTAGCCGTCTGCGGCTAGTCGCCTCCCTAGGCACGCTTAAGTCGCCCGCGGGAAATTCGACGCGTTCTAGTTTAGGGAGGGGCCCCTAGGCAACGTTGCGTCTTGCAGACGCGGCCGAGACGCGGGAGACGCGAGTTCCGGGACGCGGCAGGACGCGGCCAAGACGCCCCGGGACGCGGCCGAGACGCGCCGGAGACGCGGGACGCGGCCGGGACGCGAAAAAAAAGACGCCAGAGACCACCCCAGGACCGAACCCACGACCACGAAAGACGACCCCGGGACCGAAGCCAGACCCGCGGGACGCGAGAGACGCGCGAGAGACGCAGCCCAGACGCGGGACGCCGGCCCAGACGCCGGCCAGACGCCGCCAGACGCGGCCGAGACGCCCCAGACGCGGCCAAGACGCGACTTCCGAGACGCGCCGGAGACGCCGGAGGACCTGGCGGAGACTGCCCGGGGACTTAGCGAAAGACGCCCAGACCGCGCGTTGCCTAGGGGCCCCTTTAGGGCCCCAGCCCGGGGAGTACGGGCTCGCGCCGAACTTAAAGGATCGCCAATAAAGGGGCGCCGACGACAGCGGGAAACATGCGAAGTTGAGGTTTTGTGTTCCGGATTGAGGTTTTGTGCAGGGTTTTGTGTACCGCTGAATTCGAGGGTGTGAGTCGCTAAACAGCGTCT